AGAAATATTCTTCGTCATCAATAAGAATTGCAGGTAGCTATCAATACCTACTCCAATTCATTAACTAATATCAAATCCAAATGGTTATTAGAGTCTCCCTCCCCTCCCTGGAACACGACATCATCAGTGGTGTATGGAATATCTCAGTATTCACTGGTAGTTGGGTGGGAGAGTCCACGAGATGATGGAGGAGTGGAGATTGACAACTACACCCTCTCTCTCTACCAGGAGGACCAGACTGTGGTCCAGACAACTACTGAGTCTCTGGAGCTACCTCTCTCACTGGACTACTCCACTGTCTACTCCATCATCATCACTGCCAACAACTGTGCTGGCTCAAGTTCCCCTGTATCTCTGACTAGCATGGAGGGTATAGTCATTGGGTAACAGCATATGGACATTATTATCCTGTTCCCCACAGCTGGCTGCAGAGCTCCACTATCACCAGTCAATGGTAGTATTGAGGAGTACAGGAGTACAGAGGAGGGAGCAGAGATCCAGTTCCACTGTCATGATGGATACACTCCTAATGAGACGATGTCATCTCAATGTCTCAACTCATCATGGTCCCCTCGCCCAATGGAGTTAGTGTGTGCAAAAATCTCCAAAACCTTGACAACTTCAGGTAGTGTTTGTCCTTGCTCAGATTCATGTACTGACAGCTTAACTTCTGATTATTACATCTTCCTTACCCACTTTTTTCAATTCAGGCCCCTCTTCAACCAGTAATACTACCCCTTCCCCAACCATTCCCAGTGAATCCATTCAACAAAAGCTGGCGGCAGGGCTGGTGTCAGGCCTTCTCTTTGCTATTGTATGTGCGTGTATGGTCATTATAGTGGTGTGTCGATGGAGATGTTTCACAAGTGAGTGTATAACAGGCAGGTAATGTCTCTGTCATATCACAGTGTGTAATGCAGGGCTAAAAGTGACACACACTGTACACCAGAACACGTGAGTTTCTACATACATTGGACCTGGCCGTGATTTTTTTCTCCAGTTATAGTGGTATGCCCTTGGCACAGTATTCAGTAATTGAGAGGAGAAATTTGGGTTCAGAGTCAGAATTACGCTCAGACCCACCAGTGGGACAGTACTCTGTTGTTCACAGTGGATCGCCACAGGACGAGACTCACTTTAACACTGCTACACAGGTTTGCAGTATATGAACTCGCTTCCTGTTTGTACTACAGAAAATGCTTTCAGTGTGTGTGCATTTGCTTCCTTTTCAGATAACGGGTAATGGAGCTTCAGTGTCGGGAGTTTCACCACCGATACCCCATCACTCTCCTGTCCTAACCAATTCTAAAGTAGTAACAGTACCGTACCTACAGTACCTTATATATGTGTATCTTTTCTGCTAGGGTCTGGTGTATGCCAAGGTGAATCCTATGATCCCAGTTGTCCCACCACCTAAGACCCAGGATGGACAGAGAGTGGCGTATGTGACCGTGTGGGCAGATGCAGTCGTCCCTCCTCTTCCGTCTGACACCAAGAAAAAAGCTGGTAAATACACAAGACTGTTTGTACTCCTAAAGCTACTTGCTACTTTTTTTACTAACCAAACTAGTTTCACTATCACTAACACACTTTTGTATGTCATACAGTTGTAATGCACTTTACTACAAACACACTATTTTGGGGTGGTTCAACAAGAGTAAGCTACTCCTCTCTGATGTTTCCCACATGTCACAGATGTGAGTGTGAGTTTGGACCAGATACTCATTCAGCTGGGAGAGGTGGCCCCAGATTGGAGGAGACTGGCAGAGTCCCTGGAGATTGAGGGAATTGACGACATTGCTCAATATGTGAGACATAATTGGCGAGCGAAGCAAGCCAACCTAGTGTGTCTGAATGCAGCATTTCTGTAGCGGTGTAACCAACTCCACAGACCGTAACGTGATTCTAAATATGCGCGAAGTGCAAAACACACAAAATATTAAACTGCTCTCTTCCCTCGCCAAATTATACAGTATAATATAGTGCTCTTGTATGCATAGCTTGTTTTGACTGTGTGGTGTGTGGCTACTGCACGGCTGGCTAGTTTGCACACCTGGCTAGTTTGTATGTAAGCTTTGAAAGTTGATATAGAGATAGAAAACAGGAAATGGGAAGTAGGGGCCTTGCTATATACACTGTTGAAAGAGGCACTGACCCCACATATTTTTACAGAAACATGATTAGGACAAGTCTATGAGACTGTGAGTCTATGGGACTTCTGCAATAATTATATTGGTGGAGACAAAGTGTGCATGCATCGCAGGACATTGAGTAATGGTCCGAGAAGTAAACCATAGCACTGTAGCTTCACGTACATGCATGTATGTATACTTAGAACACCCACTATTATGTGGGTAGTACCAATACCTTTCTATTGCTATTCTTTACTCCCCATAGCATTATGCTAGTTCAGCATGCCTCACTTGATGACTGGTTTACATGGCTCATTCCACAATAATGTGCACTATCCTAGGTGAGCAGTGAGCACGATGCAATGGTGGAAGTAGTGGATGGATGGCTGAGGAAACTCTATCCCAAAGTACCCACCTGGAGAGAAATTGCAGGTGTTGTCGAGGGACTCGGCTACAGTAATCTTGCTTACTGCCTCAGACAAGTGTATGTGACTGGTGAGTGTGAAAGTTGTCGTCAACTTACGATATGGGCTATGGGGAAACACTGAAACCTAAATATTTTGAATTGTTCTCCTTTATCAATGCACACTGTGGCTATAGCGTGATAACATATGCATGCACTCACATGACAATGGCTATGTATGCCCTATGTCATCAAACAGCAACACAGTGTTTCACTTTCATTCGTCATAATGGTCTGCCTTCAATGCATTAGTCCTTAGGAGTAGTGAAGATAGCTGTTTTACTTTACTTTCCACACTTGCCCTAATTGCCATGTTGCCTCAGTTGGCTAACGTGGTGGATTGTCCCCATCCTATTACAGAGTGGGTCTCTGTGTGAAGGAGAGTGGGTCTCTGTGTGAAGGAGGGTGGGTCTCTGTGTGAAGGAGGGTGGGTCTCTGTGTAAAGGAGGGTGGGTCTCTGTGTGAAGGAGGGTGCACAGACTTCGCTGGTTATCCCCCAGCACTACACCACTCTGTTTATAGAGTATAGACCTTCAGACAAATGGGTATTAGGGTAGGCCTTGCGATCAGTATAGCTCCAGAGCCCCCAGTTGCAAACACAAATATTTTCCAGCTTCCCAGTACTATCATAAATAGGACATCAAAATCCTGCTCTTTGAGAACGCATGTTCCTTCGTAGCCCTGCTTGCAGCCTTTCTATGACTGCACTGTCACAATGTGTAGGGCTACATGCTGCAGCGAAGTGAGACAAATGGTGTATGGCGAGGAAGTGAGCTCTCTCATCTGAATAGTGCTGTGTAACTCAACGGTGGTCTCTCACTCAACAGAGAGTGTATGCGTGAACATCATGTAGAGCAGTGTTGAATGTTAACCCGTTGAATGCCATGGGTGTACCGGCTTAAATAAGCAGAAATTGATGTATAAAGTATTAGCGCATAGTATTACAACCCCCTACGGACTTATGGAGGCTCTGGGCACATTTTATGCGTCAGTGGCTGGTTAAGTATTAAGATAGAAATGCTAGGAAAGATGTCTGTTATGTCCCATGTAGGTTACCTCCCAATCGAGGTGTCTAACGCTGTGTCACCGACAGTACCTGTCAGTGCATCTCCACCTCCCATTCCTCCTCGCCTCGACCATGAACCTCTCCCTCCTCGCGACGATCAGCCTTCATCACCGTATCTCTCTCTTCGACAGCACCAGCCTTCCCTCCTTCTTTACAATGTGGACCAGCCATCACACCCACTAGAGAACGACAATGATGAACTACCTCCTCCTCTACCAGCTAAGCAGTGTATGCGCAAACATCATGTAGAGCAGTGTTGAATGTTAAAACCTTTGGATGCCATGGGTATCTGCTTAAGCAGAAATTGATGTATAAAGTATTAGCGCCTAGTATTACAACCCCCTACGGACTTATGGAGGCTCTGGACACATTTATGCGTCTGTGACTGGTTAAGTATTAAGATAGAAATGCTAGTTATGTCCCATGTAGGTTACCTCCCAATCGAGGTGTCTAACGCTGTGTCACCGACAGTACCTGTCAGTGCATCTCCACCTCCCCTTCCTCCTCACCTCGACCATGAACCTCTCCCTCCTCACAACGATCAGCCTTCATCACCATGCCTCTCTCTTCAACAGCACCAGCCTTCCCTCCTTCTTTACAATGTGGACCAGCCATCACACCCACTAGAGAACGACAATCCTCCTCCTCTACCAGCTAAGCTTGGGTGAGCAAATATTTTGGCGAACTCTATAGCATAGAAGACAAGGTCTGTCCTACACCTAGAATGAAATGTTATGATCACTTTCTTTTTTCTCTCTAGCAGGTTCAGACTAACACATTAGATATTCCACACAAAGACAAAGGGACGGACAGAGGTTTTGAACTTGTATCACTTCATCACAGTGGTTCATTTTTATTTCAAATGCAATTTCTAACTTCATTGTCACTTCTTTTTCCTGGAAATTCAAGGTCCTCTCTGTCTACCCTGTCCAGAATTGTACATTTTTAGTCCTCTCTGATGTCGATGTATGATGAGGCTGATGCTCACGGAGGCACAATAAAGTTTCCAAATCGGCAGGAGGATACTTCTTCCCTAACTGAGCAACTAACGGAACACAAAATGAAGTGCATTATGTGGCTTACTCATAGTGCACGAGGATGGATTGATAGCCATTGAGGTTCGTGCACTAATCATTATCAATCCGTCCAAGCACACTGATTGGAACCGCATTATAAACTTTTGGTGGTGCATCTGACCTCAGCAATCAGATTGTAATTAGAGTTAAACACTCACCCTGACGACTTGCTCTCCCCTTACTGCTCGGGAGAGAAAATGATGGTACATTCAGGTTTGCACAGGTCAGGTTCCCTTCAAGATTCAATGTTTTTGATCATTTTTGGATAAGTGATAAAAAGTGTTAAAGATAACTAGTTAATGCATGCACACTTTTCAGTAGGCCTACTTTCAGTGCATTAACCAGTTAATGCTAAAGTGGCGTGCATGTGACAAAATGGAAAGATCTGATTGGCTGAACATCACATGACCAGAACTAAGTCTCAATTAAGTGTACACCCTCTCACAGAAATTCTGACTGGAAGACATAGGAGAGGTAAATGACGGGAGGTGGACTTTAGAACTAACAGAGGAAACATAATGTAGGGTGAAGGAATACGAGGATACCTGCTGTCTCCTCTGCTCTGGGTTTATTCCTGTCTTCATTCTTTCACCTGACACCCATATGCCATCCTTACCTCAGATGTTAGATCCATCTACAGTGCAACCTCTAATGGACACTATGGGGCCTACAATTGTCTTCCTCCTCCCCCGTAAAAGCATATTCAAACGTATTCAGGTGAAAATGTTGCAATGCTTGCAATTGTCCCTATAGAGAGGTCGTCCCCATAGTATAGCATGAGGTTGAAACAAGTGTCCTAGGTACAGAGGTCGTCCCTATCTCGGAGGGTCCCTTATCAGAGGGTCCACTGGAGCACTCATAGCAGACAGGAGGTGAGAGGTGGTAGCATATATAATATTATTATTACAGGAAAGGAGGAGAAAGAAAATAGTGATGAGAACAACGGATGGAAAAAGTAGTGATAAGATGTGGAAGAAGGGTGGAGACATAGGGGACAAAGGATTGCATACGGTAAATGACGAAGGAGTGGGGTGGAGTAGCCCCTGGTACAAATGTTTTTTTCTCTCCCTAGTTTTACGACAGATATATAATATATGAAGAAAAGTCACACATAGTAATGTGCTGTATAACAACTTGTGGTTCGCTTGCTTCAACGTCAACCAAGTTCAGCATTGCTTGGTTACTTCACATAATACACATATTATAAGCAGTCCTACACACACAATTTTCAACCAAGTTTCCAACCTATTGTACCAATTTTTCAAACATGCCAAGCACTGCGCTAAGGTGGATGTGTACATGTAGACCAAAAATGAGAGGGGTTGAGACATAATGTGATGGGGAGAGATGCGGGTAACGAGGGAGAGGATTGAGACCCATGTGACAAAGGTGAGAGGTTGACGAGGAGAGGGGTTGAGACTATAGGTGATGAGGGAGAGGGGTGGAGACCCATGTGACGAAGGTGAGAGGTTGAGAGTGAGAGGTGACAAGGGAGAGGGGTGGAGATTATAATGACCAGGCTGAGGGATGGAAGATGAGAGTGGGAGTGGAGCACAGGTGACCAAGAAGAGGAGTGGAGGCATAGGTGATGCACTAGGACATTGTAGGGGAGGATTTAACAAAGGGCAAGGTACCTTCAGCTGACTCCCAGCCGGGAAATGTAGCACTTACGTTCGTTTAGAAAAGAATTGTGATAATTTTTAATAGTACATAAACATCTAATGATGGCAGTATCAAATTCGACTCTTGCTCAAAGTCCATTACTCATTCACTCAATACACAATGCACAGGCGTAGAATATCCCGCATGACATATTGTTACAATTGAACCAAAACAAACATTACTACATGGGGAACCCACGAATAATCAAAAGATGCTGTTCAGAGTCAGAGCTACATTCAGACCCACCAGTGGGACAGTACTCTGTTGTTCACAGTGGATTGCCACAGCACGAGACTCACTTTAACACTGCTACACAGGTTTGCAGTATATGAACTCACTTCCTGTTTGTTATACTACACTATAAATGCTTTCAGTGTGTGTGCATTTGCTTCCTTTTCAGATAACTGGTAATGGAGTTTCAGTGTCGGGAGTTTCACTACCGATACCCCATCACTCACCTGTCCAAACCAAGGTAATAACAGTACTATCATCATCCACCTTACGTGTATCTTTTCTGCTAGTGTTTGGTGTATGCCAAGGTGAATCCTACAATTCCAGCTGTCCCACCACCTAAGACCCAGGATGGACAGAGAGTGATGTATGTGACGTGTGGGCAGATGCAGTTGTCCCTCCTCTTCAGTCTGACACTAAGAGAAAAGCTGTAAACAAGACTGTTTGTGCTAATAAAATACTACTGAACAAGCTGTTATCATAATGCACTATAGAATGGCCCAAAAACTAAGTTAGCTGTACAAACACACTGTTTTGGGGCGGTTCAACAAGAGTAAGCTACTCCCTCCTTGATGTTTCCCACATGTACTAGATGTGAGTGTGAGTTTGGATCAGATGCTCATTCAGCTGGGAGAGGTGGCCCCAGACTGGAGGAGACTGGCAAAGTCCCTGGGGATTGATGGTGTTGACGACATTGCTCAACATGTGAGACATAATTGGCTAGCGAAGCAAGCCAACCTAGTTGTCTGAATGCAGAATATCTGTAATGGTAAACCAACTCCACATGATTGTAGCATGATTCTAATATACGCAACGCCGAAAACACAAAATATTAAACTGCTCGCTTCGCTCGCCAAATGATGAGTTGCATTGGTTCTATATAGTAGTACTCTTGTATGACATAGCTTGTTTTGACTCTGTGGTGTGTGGCTACATGCATGACTGGCTAGTTTGCACAGAAGATATGCAAACTTGAGAGTTGATTTTGACATAGAAAACAGGAAAGGGGAAGTAGGGGCCTATCTAAACTGTTCAAAGAGGCACTGACCCCACAAATTTTGACGGAAACATTATTACTACAAGTTTATGAGACTGTGAGTCTATCAGACTTCTGGAATATTGTGGGAGACAAAGTGTGCATGCATCGCAGGACATTGAGTAATGGTCCGAGAAGTAAACCATAGCACCGTAGCTTCATGTGCACATATACTTATGTATGTTGTAGAACACCCACTATTATGTGGGCAGTACCCCCCTAAGTGAAATCCCTTCTATTCCTTTACTCCCCATAGCATTATGCTAAGCCTCACTTGATGACTGGTTTACATGGCTCATTCCACAATAATGTGCCATATCCTAGGTGAGCAGTGAGCATGATGCAATGGTGGAAGTAGTGGATGGATGGCTGAGGAAACTCTATTCCAAAGTACCCACCTGGAGAGAAATCGCAGGTGTTGTCGAGGGACTCGGCTACTGTAATCTTGCTTACTGCCTCAGACATGTGTATGTGACTGGTGAGTGTGAAAGTTGTTGTAAACTTACGATATGGGCTATGGGGAAACACTGAAACCCAAAATATTTTGAATTGTTGATGCACACTGTGGCTATAGCCTGATAACATATGCATCCACTCACATGACAGTAGCTATGTA